TGAAGATGTTCGCAAGAAGGTGCAGGAGATATTGTCTGGTTCGCAAGGGAGAGCTAGAAACCCATCCATCGAGGGGAGATCGCGATTGCAATCGCGGATGCGTCGTTAAGTATGCAGCACGCGTTCACGTTGGTCTTCTCGCTAATAACATCACGCATTCCACGTGTCTTTGCATCCAACTACTCGGCTTAGTCCCGGCAGAATCATCGAATCCAGAACCCCACCGTGTCACGTAACATCTTCGCGCCTGGCGCTTGTTTTTCCTTCTCTTTCGTGAAACTTGCGAACACCTCCGCTGATTGTCGAGCACAATGTAAACGTTCCAATGAGCATGCGAGCTCTCCCCTGACACGTGCACCCAGCTTTTCAACAATTCACTCTGTGCCTGGAAGTTTGTTTTCGGTTAGCCGTGATCGTGTGGTTTCCAACAATGTTTCTTTCACCATAGAGAAACGTTTGGAAATTGTTCGAGCAAAGATCTTTGACAAAGATTGTGACATGACGTGACATGACGTGACATGGTGTGACATGACGTGACATGGTATGACATAACGTGACATGACGTGACATGGTGTGACATGATGTGACATGACGTGACATGGTGTTACATGGTGTTACATGACGTGACATGACGTGACATGGTGTTACATGGTGTTACATGACGTGACATGACGTGACATGGTGTGACATGACGTGACATGACGTGACATGACGTGACATGGTGTTACATGGTGTTACATGACGTGACATGACGTGACATGACGTGACATGGTGTGACATGACGTGACATGACGTGACATGACGTGACATGGTGTTACATGGTGTTACATGACGTGACATGACGTGACATGACGTGACATGACGTGACATGACGTGACATGACGTGACATGACGTGACATGACGTGACATGACGTGACATGGTGTTACATGGTGTTACATGACGTGACATGACGTGACATGGTGTTATATGACGTGACATAACGTGACATGGTGTGACATGACGTGACACGACGTGACATGGTGTGACATGGTGTGACAAGTCGTGACATGACGTGACACGACGTGACAAGTCGTGATAAATCAAAATTAAAATTATAATCAGTTGATAATAAATTGCGTTAGTGAAAATTTACAAAAAACTTTTTATTCAATTAAAAAAAAAAAAAAAAAAAGTATTAGAGGACTTAGATCGAAAATTGATTAGCTTAGAAGTTATGAGTTTTGTCCCGAACGCCCATATACACGAATCACTGTGTGACGGCAGAAAACCATTTCTTTAAGCCTTATAAAAAGAGCGGTGCAAAGTCAAATTTTTTTGACAGCGACTGATAACCGAGAAGTCACGCGTACGCATTTGCTCGATCGCGCGCGGATGAGCCTCTGTTCTCCGCCCCTGAGCGCGGGCTCTACGCGCGCTGTTATTGGCCAGTGTTTTTCGTTAATAAATCAAAAACGAAGCTTCAAATTGTATTTTGGAAAAGGAAAAAGTTGTTCAGAGTCACCCCAGCAACTCCCCATTTCCGGGTGTTCGAAGAGTTACGGGACACCCTGTATACACATTCTGACCTGAGTCTTTCCAGTCCCTCCCGCGTCTAAGGCACGGGTCTCCTGGAAAGCCTTACTGACGAGTCCACTAGGAGGCCCAGGACGAAACGCCCTAACCTTTCCTTTTCCGCCTATCCTCTATCACTTTCTTACTAGCTTCACCCGAAATTTCGGTAACCAATGATTTCATCCTTTCCTTATTGCTCATCCTCGAATCTCAACCTCACGACCTCATCCTTTCCTGGCTAATTCCGTCTCACCCTCGAACCTCTGCCCTTGGTATACGAAACCCTTACAAATCCTAATCCCCACTCCTCAAGATACGAACATATGTATTATACGTCCTTCCTCAAAAATGAAAGAGATTAGTCCTTCTATCGTTACGCACGCAGCTCCGTAGAAATTTGTCCTTTGTCAACATGTCTCCGTTCTGTGATACTTAGCGATTATACTTAGCAACA